ACAAGAAGGTGCGGGCGCATTTTTTCCAGTGCCTGTCGGACGAGCTGTTGATGCAAGTGGCGAAGAAGAAGACAGGGAAGGAAGTTTGGGACTCTCTGAAGGCAAGATTTGTGGGCGCGGAACGCGTCAAGGTCGCGCGCCTGCAAACTTTGAAGGCTGAATTCGATGCGCTGAAGATGAAGGAGGAGACTGTTGATGAGTTCGCCGGGAAGCTGACGGCGATGTCGGTCAAGTACGGCAATTTAGGCGGGACATTGGAGGATGCGACGATTGTGAAGAAGCTGTTCGACACCGTGCCAGACAAGTTCATCCATGTCATAGCCGGGATTAAATAGTTCTATAACCTCCAGACTTTGGCGTTCGACGAAGCTGTTGGTCGACTCAAGCCGTTCGAGGAGCGAACCACCAGGCGGGGAGTCGGTGGAAGTCGCTCTGCCGACGGGCAGGCGCTGCTCACTCAGGCGGAGTGGGAGGCGCGCCAGAAGAAGTCAGGAGGAGGCGAGAGCTCTGGTGGCAGGAAGTCTCAGGGCGGTGGCGGCCGTGGCCGTGGGCGCGGTCGTGGTGGAGGCCGGGGTGGCCGTGGTGGGCGCGGTGAAGCTGGAAGGGAGAACACTATTCGTGACAAAAGTCACATCAAGTGTTTCAAGTGCCAGACATATGGGCCCACGCAAATCGTTGCCCCGGTGAGAAGAAGAAGGACGAGGAGGCACACCATGTGAGAAAAGTGGAGATGGAGCCGGTGGTGTTGCTCGCGGAAACAGTGGAACTGGGACCATTTGAGCCAGCATCAAACACGAGTCTTCATACAGAGATGATACTCAAAGAGAAGAAGGTGATGCCCGAGCTGTTCTTCGTTGGCGAGGGAGAGGTCAGAGATGATGTCTGTTACCTGGATAATGGCGCCAGCAATCACATGACCGGGGATCGTTAGAAGTTCAGAGAATTGGATCAAACCTCTACTGGAAAGGTACGGTTTGGTGATGGTTCATCAGTAGAGATTGAGGGAAAGGGGTCTATTCTGTTTCAAGGTAGAATAGGTGATCAGTGGGTGCTTAGAGATGTTTATTACATACCTAAGTTGAAGAGCAATTTGATTAGTTTAGGTCAACTAACTGAAATTGGGCACCAAGTAGTAATGGATGATGATGTACTTGAGGTGTCAGAGAAAAACCCAAGAAGACTGATCATGAAAGTTCAGAGAACAGGAAACTGATTGTATAAGATTGAGTTAGTGTCAGTAGAACCAACCTGTTTGTTGAGTCATGCTAGTGAGAATGCTTGGTTGTGGCATGGTCGGCTAGGTCATGTAAATTTTCATGCATTGAAGCAACTAGTTGACAAGGAGATGGTTGGGGGAGTACCACTAATTCAACATCCAGATCAGATCTGTCAGTCTTGTCTGACAGCAAAACAAGCAAGAAAGCCTTTTCCTAGGTCAGTGTTGTGGAGAGCAGATGAACCATTGCAGCTTGTACATGTTGACTTGTGTGGGCCCATTACTCCATCCACATTAGCAGATAACAAGTATTTCATGCTTTTGGTGGATGACTGCACTAGATGGACAACAGTGTACATTCTAAAGTCAAAAGACCAGGCAGTAGATGCATTCATCAAGTTCAGAGCTGAGGTTGAGAAGAGCTCTGGTTATGAGATCAAGATTCTTAGATCTGATAGAGGTGGAGAGTTTCTGTCAAAATCCTTTCAGAGTGTGTGTGAGCAGGGTGGGATCAAGCATTAGTTTACAGCTCCCTACACTCCACAGCAAAATGGAGTGGTTGAGAGGAAGAATAGATCAGTAATGGAAATGGCAAGATCCCTATTGAAGAGCATGGAGATCCCTGGAATTTTTTGGGCAGAGGCAGTAAGACATTCAGTCTATCTGTTGAACAGACTGCCAACTAAGTCCATGGGGTACAGAACACCATATGAAGGATGGAATGGAAGAAAACCTCATCTGGGTCATTTGAGAATTTTTGGTTGCAAGGGACATGTGAAGATTGTGGGAACACATCTGAAGAAACTTGATGACAAAAGTGTGCCAATGGTCTACTTTGGGATAGAAGAAGGCAGCAAAGCTCACAGGATGTACAATCCAAAAACCAACAAGATTGTGGTTAGCAGGGATGTTGTGTTTGAGGAATCTCTCAAGTGGAGCTGGGAGTCTGTAGACAGTTTCAGTTTTGCTGAAAACAGAGATGAGAAGGATGGTCAATTCTACTCTGGTGATTATGGGAGTCTTGATAGTGGTGTTGGTGACGCACAAGGTGCTCAAGGTGTCAATGACACAGGGGGAGCAACTAGTGGTGGAGAGCAATCAACTGGAGGCATGAATGCAGAAATGGGAGATTATGATGTTCAGACTGAACAAAATTCGACAATAGGATCAGAACCAGCTACTCCGTAGAGTTCACCACATCTGTTAGTCACTGGTTATGACAGTATGGATGTAGATGACACCATAGACACTGACAGTGGACCAATCAGATTCAGAAGCTTGAATGAAGTATATGATGACTCATATGAAGTAGAGCTGATGGATGAGAATGTGGAAGCACTGCTAGTGGAAATGGAGGAACCAACATGTTTCAGGGATGCTGCTGACAGTCAAGACTGGGTTGATGCAATGGACAGAGAAATGCAGTCCATTCAGAAGAATAAGACATGGGAGCTGGTTAAGCTACCTGCTGGAAAGAAGCCCATTGGTTTGAAATGGGTGTTTAAACTGAAAAGGAATTCAGAGGGGGATGTGGTAAAACACAAAGCAAGGTTAGTTGCAAAAGGATATGTGCAAAAGCATGGAGTTGACTATGAAGAAGTCTTTGCTCCCGTGGCCAGATTGGACACAGTGAGGGTGTTGCTAGCACTAGCAGCTAATCAAGGTTGGAAAGTTCATCATCTTGATGTGAAGTCAGCTTTTCTACATGGTGAGTTGGAGGAAGAAGTCTATGTTTCACAGCCAGAAGGGTATGTTGTGAAAGGGAAAGAGCAGTGTGTACTCAAATTAAGTAAAGCTCTGTATGGACTTAAACAAGCACCAAGGGCTTGGAATGTCAGATTAGACAAGAGCCTGAGAAAACTGAACTTCAGAAGATGTATGAGTGAACAAGCAGTTTATACAAGAGGGCATGGGAAAAATGCAGTACCCTTGGGAGTTTATGTTGATGACTTGATAATTACAGGAGGAAATCTAGAGAGTGTCAAGTTGTTCAAGCAACAGATGAAGAGTGAATTTGAGATGACAGACCTTGGTCTCCTTTCTTACTATCTTGGTATTGAGGTGGATCAGAAAGAGGATCATATCACTGTAAAACAGTCTACTTATGCTAGAAAGGTTTTGGGGCAATTTGGGATGGCAGAATGCAATTCAAGCAAGTGTCCAATGGAGCCCAGAAACAAACTGAATGAAGACAAGGGAGGAAAGCTAGTTGATGCAACAGAATACAGGAAGATGATTGGTTGTCTCAGGTATCTGTTACATACAAGACCAGACCTGTCATATTCAGTGGGTCTAGCTAGTAGATTCATGGAGAAGCCAACAGTGATTCATGCTGGGGCAGTAAAGCAGATCATGAGGTACCTGAAGAGCACTACTGAGTATGGACTGGTGTATGTTCAAGGTGGTGGTACAGGAGTGTTGGTGGGTTACACTGACAGTGATCATGGAGCTGATCAAGTTGAAAGAACAAGTACTGGTGGGATGGCTTTTTACTTGGGAGAAATTTTGGTTAGCTGGTGTTCCCAGAAGCAGAAGACAGTGGCTCTGTCATCTTGTGAAGCAGAGTTTATGGCCGCTACTTCAGCAGCAAGGCAAGCTCTGTGGTTAAGAAATCTGTTGAGTGAAATCACTGAAGAAAGGCCTAGTGCAGTAACTCTTTATGTAGACAATAACTCTGCTAGAGCTCTGATGAACAATCCTGTGTTTCATGGAAGAAGTAAACACATTGATATCAAGTATCACTTCATCAGGCAGTGTGTGGAGAGAGGTCAGATTACAGTGAAGAGGGTTAGCACTGATGAGCAGAAAGCCGATGCATTGACCAAGGCATTGCCAGTGGCAAAACTGGTGGTGATGAGGCACTTGTTGGGTGTCAGGGACCTTGACGCTACTGCTTGACAGGATTAAGGGGGAGAATGTTAGTGTAAACCTGTCAATGTCAACGTGGAACACTTGTGCAATGAGCTGGTGACGTGGAGCAGGCCGAAAAGTTCAAGTTTGAATCAAGCCTTGGCGAGCAGGAACAGCGGTGAGCGGTGACCGCGCCCACGACTCAGCGGTTGTCTGCAATGTGTGTTTCGCTGTGACTTGTATCGTGTGTAGCAGTTGCTTTTCTTTAGAAATCGTGTGCGTTTGCTACTATGTTAAGTAGCCTGATGTAAGAGGACTTATGGTTCTCTCCACTATCTAGTATCCGTCTGTGTACTCGTGGTGAACGAGAGCGAAAAGGGGCGCTGTCACCCTGTTGCCCTGGTGGCGGTTGCCATGTGTTCTTGCTGTTCTTGCACTTGATCTCGTTTTTGCTCGATTGTTTAGGCTAGCCACTGCTATACTCGTGTGTTTGTGATTGATCTTGGCCAACAGCCGCTCATCCTGCTCGAGAAGCTCGTCGCCGTCGAGACTGGCAAGCCTACGGTATGGTATCCATCGAGAAGTCATGCATGCAGTCGAACTCGTAAATTCGTTTCGTTTTTTAGGTAGTGTTTTCTTTATGCTTCGCTTTATCAAGGCATCGATCGAATCGAAGTCAAAATAAAGCAAAAGGCAAAGCTAGGCGTGTTCCTGTCACCGTCCATCATCTTGAATTCTCTTCTTTTCACATGGTATCACACTTGCCTTTCAAAAAAATAAGTGGGTTCTGTTTCTAAGGTCTAACATGTCACAAATCAGAAATTTACGGACAGATCAGATCGAATATCACTTTATATATCATCTTACTGCTGAACTAGAACCAGAACTAACACGAAACTTTCATGCATGTGCACATGAATCATGATGGATGCAGAATGGCGATGTCATCAACAGGATGGTGCTGAGGTTCCTGACGCCGACGCCCCGGCTGCCAACCTCCGGCGTCGGCATCGGGCTCCACGCGCTGGACGTGCACCGCCGGAAAATGCTCTACGGCCACTACCAGCACCCTTCACCGAGCCAGGTGCCGGAGACGGACATCATCCGGTCCGCGGTGGAGCTGTACGAGGCCGGGATCCGGTTCAAGAAGAGCATCTCGGAGAGCCTCCACGACATCCGCTTCCGGCACGGCGTGCTGAGCATGCCGGCGGTGACGGTGGACGACTCCACCGAGTACATGTTCCTCAACATGATGGAGTTCGAGCGGCTGCACGTCGGCGCCGGCAACGACGTGACGGCGTACATCTTCTTCATGGACAACATCATCGACTCCGCCAAGGACGTGGCACTGCTCAGCTCCAAGGGCATCATCCAGAACGCCGTCGGCAGCGACAAGGCCGTGGCCAAGCTCTTCAACAGCATCTCCAAGGACGTGGTGCTGGAGGCCGAGAGCGCGCTGGACGCCGTGCACCGGGAGGTGAACGCCTACTGCCGGAAGCCGTGGAACATGTGGCGCGCCAACCTCATCCACACCTACTTCCGGAGCCCTTGGGCGTTCATGTCGCTCGCCGCCGCCGTCTTCCTACTCGTCATGACCATCATGCAGACTGTCTATACCGTGCTGCCATACTACCAGCCGGACCTAGGCAGCGGTGGCTCGCCGGCAGCGCCGGCTCCGATGTGATCCATCTTTGCAGTGCAGCGTTTATTTGCATTCATCTGTATGTGTGCGGCACCGGCCTTGTGTACATCGGTGATCTGTTTGAGCTTGTTTTGCGCTGTTTTTCTTGAATAATATTATGTGTGTGTGGTGAATGTTGTGGTAAATTCCATTTGTTGATTTTTTTTGGAGCCTTTTGTGTTCCGTGCGACTTTGTTTGTATTGAATGACATTTCAAAATATGGAAAAAAAGGATGATATATATGGAAAACAAAATTGGAAAAAATCAGACTGCAATAGCCCTCGGGCCTTGTGTTAGCTGCACTCGTGTCCACTCCAACTCACGCGTGCTGGAGTAAATGGAGATGAAAACATACGGACTGAGATCAACATGAGTGCAACCAAACAAACCCTCAGTGTTTATAGTGAGAGAAAATGTAAAAAGAAAAAGAAACTTTTTTACTATGGTTGCGGAGGCGTCAGAAAGCGTTAGCTGTGTCAATGATTAGTGGGCCTGTATGAGGGAAGGCGTTGAGAGGCGTCAATGAGGAAGGTGTCAGGAGGCGTTGGATGTGTCTATGGTCGGTGGGCCCATATACGTCCAAACGTCTCCCAACGCCTCCAAAGTTAAGAGGATTAGGACTTCAAATAAAATAGTGGCAATTCCTTTTTCGTAGTTATTTTTTTAATCAAGGGTAGAATAGTAAATCCACCAGGCGGGCGTTGCGGCCATCCCGTACGTGGACCTGTTGGCGCCGGGCGCGGCCGCGGCGGTGGCCGACGCGTGCCGCAGCGTGGGCTTCTTCAGGGCGACCAACCACGGCGTGCCGGCGCGCGTCGCCGAGGCGCTGGAGGCCCGCGCGATGGCGTTCTTCGCGCTGCCTACGCAGGAGAAGCTGGACATGTCCGGCGCCGCCCACCCCATGGGGTACGGCAGCAAGAGTATCGGCTCCAACGGCGACGTCGGGTGGCTGGAGTACCTCCTCCTCTCCGTCAGCGCCAACACCGTCAAGGTCTCCTCCCTGCCGCCCTCGCTCCGGTAAGCTAGCTAGCTGTTGATCTTGCTTCGTCTTCGCCGTGCACGCACACCTGGGTCGACTCACTCAGCGGACTGGATGCATGAGCATGCAGAGCGCCATTGGAGGAGTACACGGCTGCGGTGAGAGAGGTGTGCGGGCGGGTGCTGGAGCTCATAGCGGAGGGCCCCTGGGCGTGGATCGGTCCCTGCTGAGGGCGATGGTGGTGGGGCGGGAAGGCAGCGACAAGCTGGTGTGCATGAACCACTACCCGCCCTGCCCGCTGCTGCCGCCGGTGGACTGCGGCGTGACGGGTTTGGGGAGCACACGGACCCGTACATCATCTCCGTGCTCAGGTCCAGCCGCACGGCGGGCCTGCAGATCAAGCTCCGGGACGGCAGGTGGGTCCCCGTGCCCCCCGCCCCAGAATGCTTCATCGTCAACGCACGGGATGGTCGGAAGGGAGATGTGCGAAATGACCGTAAACGAATAAAATCAACAAAAATAGCTATTTTGGATAAGTATCAGGAAGCGTCAGCAAGCGTTATGAAGTATTTCCAACCATTGTAAAAGGGCTCAAAGAAAAAACCCAACTAATACAGCGAACATGATTTGTAAATTGACTTTTTCCGTGTAAGAGCGCCAACTCTAAACATGTGGGTACCACACTATTGACGAAACCGGTGGTGTATGTTATTGTTCTCTCCTAAATAAATCATCGACATCGACACTGCGGTCAGCCCCTATTCCGATGAATTTCAACTGTCACACACAAACAAATGACACCACTGTATTAAGTTAAAATATTAGCGCTTCATGAACTGGAATATCAGATGAAGAAACTAACAAAACATGTTTAAATATATCTTACAAGGTTGTTCTGTGGTTCCCTCCAATAGAAGCCATGTATCAGGATTGGGGCGATGTTGCATGCCACTAGAACAAAAAGCATGAGAGCATGCTTTCCCACCCACTCCATAGGGAAAAACAGCTTCCTGTAACAATAAACATCCACCTGAAAGTGCATAGTTATATTTATATATATCATGTCGGTGACATCATAATCCATGTAACACACTCTTTTCATAACAGTTGGCATAAACTACAGACCTTCAGTTAGATAAACTAGTATATCAAAAAATATTAGGAGACGTAATTCATGTCCAGTACCTATGACTAAACAAAATTACTGATATTTGTGCTTTCTCTCTATTTATTTTCTAACATATTACCTAGATACTCAGTCCAACTGTGATGGGCTTATCAGCTAATCTATATATTTTTTTCGTCCATATCACTCTCACCATGACACTTCATGTGTCTTCAATATATGTTTAGCTGAAATCTTAGCTTAAAAGTTATTATGGTGGATCTTATGTTGTTCCCCATGTCATGCATCATGATGTCATGAATCCAAATTTTCATACTTGCTGTAATTTTTTATGTGCATGTTGAGTTGAAACTCTTGTGTTTATAGTACTATTTATTCAAAAAACTCCTTTTTATTTTTTTTCAAAAGGCTCTATTCTTTAGAAATAGAGTAGACCCTATGACTTTTATTATCATTAATTATTATAGTCTACATAATTGATAGCTAGATCCAATGTTATCTGATCATCCAATTAATTGTGATTAATCGTTCTTATCAGTACCTAGCACTTGATTAGACCCTCCGATTCGATCAGAGCGATCAGAAACCTGATCGTCCGATTAATCGATAATTACTGGCGATAAATCATCCGATTAGGTCTCTTGGCCGATCAGCACCAAATAGGTAGACCGCAGATGGGCTGCTTCAGCTTACTGGACTATATTTGTTTGGGCCAGGCCCATTAGGAGTTCTCTTATATACCTCCCCCACTCTCTCTCTCACCCCTCAGTCCTCACTCCTCACTCCCAGTCTCCAGCTGTCGGCTACACCTGCTGTGTGATCTCTCCCCCTCCATCCTCACTCCCTCCTACCTCCCTTCCGGTTCCAATCCAAGCAGCCCGTCTGTGCAACTTCCCTGCTGTGCGCTGCTTCCTCATCCCTCCTGCAGTCCTGCTGCTCCCTCCTCCGTCCTGCTGCACTATGCTCAAATCTTGATGCTCGATGTCTACTATATAAGTATATAGTATATATACCATACATATGTGATACTATATACAGGACGATTAGACTGATAAGAGGTTGATTAATCGTCTTTATCGGTGATTAATGGTCCTGATCGTCCTTATCGGTACCAGGGCAATTAGCAACGGTTAGCCGATTTAAAAACATTGGCTAGATCGTCCTACCTTTGTAATAATTATCTTTAAAATTTATCTTTTGTTCTAAAGCATCTCTCATGAGAAATAACATTGAGGCTCCATTGAAAGCCTCGAATTAGTAATTTTAAGATATAAAAGCGATTATCAATTGGAAAATGCATTGTTTCATACATACCATAAGGTAAAATTAGTTAGTAATAAAATTTTGACTATATACTGGGTTTATTTCAATTGGTTTGATTTAATTTTTTTTACAACATTTCCTCCCATTCGGGTACCTCGACTACTGCAATACTCCATCAAATGAATGGAAGAACTTATAATGTCATTATTTTAGAAAATAAAGTTATTGTCACCAACCAGCAAATAGATTCCTGCAAAGAAGAGGCCCGCTGTGCCCGTGGTAACGCAGGTGTAGCTCAGACTATACAACGATTTGTTCATGTGGATGCCTGCAAGTTAATCCACAAAATTGAAGATGATAATCCCGTACTACATAGAAAAAAGTGCCAATATAATCTACACCTAGGGCATAACTACACCACACTGAATTACTGAACAATATTTCAGAAGTAACCGTTGACATTCGATTGCTGAAGGCCCAGTACCGAAACTTTCAGTAAGCGCACAATAGTAACACTTCCGATTTTTTTTCAGTGGTGAATTCTATGTGAGAATATTGTTCTATCTTGGGTGTAGAAAGGGGCAAACATACAACACAATTATTAACATTGGTCTTAGCAAAATGCTTGGTTAATTTATTACCAAACAAGTCAAGTGAGAAGCCAAGAATCAGCAAGCTTAGCGATGGAATCGACCACCGTACTATTCTTTTACCATGCTCCTGCAGTAAAAAAAAAAGTAGCAATTGAAAGTTAAATTGAATATATACAATAACTCCTATAGAAAGAGCAAAAAAATTCAGAATGAGGAGACATTTTGAAACTGAACTTTGGCTCTGGGTATATATATATATACCTTGAAGTGCACAATGATATGGCCAATCTGGAGGCCAATCAAGCAGGTCACAATTGCCATCACGGAACTACAAATTGTAAAGACATAGTTTAGGACTACAGGAAGTGCTACTAGAAAGTAGCTAGCTAGACAAGTGTAAGGCACTAATTACCTGAGCAGGCCCTCAGGATCAAAGGGGGCTTCACACCATGTTGGAGCATCTGATGGAAGCGGCCCATTTCGAGGGGAGTTGATGCTGCATTGCTATAATTACTCAAAAAGTAGATATTGTAGACTGTTAGTTCTCATTTCTCAACAAACTTGAACATTTAAACAACAGTTTTAGAGATTCCAGGATCAAATAGGAACAGTGAAGGTTCATTCATGGATGTGAACTTCTAGGCCACATATATTTCAGCAACTGAATGTTTTTCATACCTCTGTTTTGAGATAAACCGGGTGTGTGTAGAGATGTTGGATTCCAAGAACACGTCGATCGATCATGCCAACGGCATTGCAGCCAGGCCCTGTATCACCCCTCACCGCACATTTCACCTGGATGCAGCAATATATAGGTCATAAACAGAACAAAGAACATCTTGAAACAAGCTCTGTATATATATATATATATATATATATAAGGATCTGAAATTTTTATTGACATATTTATTAATTTATAATTACCATAAACTGCTTCAAGGTGGTATCTGTAGACGTGACCATATATTTCCAGTCTGGCACATACATGCCATACAAAAGCGCCATGTAGGTGACTGTGAGAACCAAACCCACAAACCTTTGCAAAAGTAAGAGAAAATAATATAACAAACAGTGACGCAATGCAAAAACTGTAATTATCTACAACTAGCTATAATTTACTATTATTTCAAGTGTCTGTTGATGTTGTAGCATGCTTACAGCTGATGACGGTATCTTCTGATCAAGGCATAGCCGCCGGCTCCATTGTCATCACTTGCACCACCTCGTAGCCATATTTCGCATAGTGCCACTGCAAAGTAGGCTATTGCAATTCTCTACAACAAGTGGACAATTTTAATTTGAAATTTTGGATGCTTGCTGGATGGATTGGAGATACATATATGCAGCCTTAGTTCCAGCATAATATATGGTCTTTTAGAAAAGAAAAAAAAACGGATGTGTGTAGACTCCTAGAATGTGGGTGACAAATAGATAGAACTAGTGATACCTGAAGAATGCCCATTAACCGTATTTTGCGAAGATCGACTCCATAGCTAAGATCGTGGATGGTGTGGAAGTAGCCACCTTGAATAGAAAAAGTCAAGTTATATTGTTATTTCCATTGTTTTTGCTAGATTAAAAGATGCATACATATTGAACAAATCATCGATCGAGACTAATCAATCGAATGAAGAAATACTAAGAACCACGCCAATGTTATACCTTGCAGTAGCAGACCTAGAAGGAAGAGCTTTGAAGCCCGGATCAGAGCCTTCTTGGTTGCCAGGGTTTTGTTTGGCACTCTCTATACAAAATGAACTGCTTACATGAGAATCTTTTTTCAACATATATACAAGCTATAAACAAAAAAAAACAAAGTATACGGTAATTAAGTCTTTGCTATTCAACATCATATATATAATGTTTGCATTGGAATTTTGTTCAACTACCTTGTATGCAAAGGCCAATGAGACTCCAACAATGAAGAGGAAGAAGGGGAACACAAAGTCTGCTAGTGTGACGCCGTCCCACGGAGAGTGGCTGAAGGCTGGGACAAGGCCACCAACATCGTCCACAAGTATCATAAGCTGTCATATTTGCAAGGTAGGTAGCCATATATAGTTAAGTATATACTGAGAGAGCTTTTTTGTCAACGAAATATCTAAATGACGATTAAAATAATGAAACTGTATTATGTTTGTATCATATTCTCGCTACTACTTGGAAACTTCTAATTCGAGACACTAAAACACTGTAATATTTTTGTAAAGGTAGAGCATTTACTACATCATTATTTCATTATGCCACAGATGTAGGAATTGGTAATTTGGAATGACGATCTTTTCTGAACGAATGATGACTTTGAGTAATGAATTTGTCTTTTTTTTCAGGCCTTCTGTGTTGATCGAAAGGTACTTGAAATGCCAGGCAATAAGGCACACAGAGAGATGACACGGAGACTCAAAGCACCATTGGACTCTGGGTGTTGTCTCTTATCACTTGGTGCGGGGGACCAGGGCCTCTTTGTTTCCATGGAAAATTGGAAATGGACTGAATTAGAAAATAATATCTGAGTTCTTCAGGTCAGTCAATGAACTCCCTCTGCCTTTAGCTATTGATCGAGTGACCATGAAATTGCACACAGGTGAGACATAAAACTTAACAGGGAAATATATATAGTTTGTGACCATGAAAAAATCCCTCCGAAAATGATATTTTCATCTATACGACACCATCATTTTTTTATGCATGGAACATAATCAAGAAAAAGCCTGGAATACGAAGCTCAAGCTTTAATTTAGCTATTGAGCGACGTACTGGCCTGGGCTCATCTGAAATGTTCTTTTGTTTTACGCGTGTCGATGTATTTGCTTCGCATTTTATATCACATCACACGTTGTTGATCACTCAAAGACGCCTGTTACTTTATTTATTCACTTCTATATCTTAGGTGCCGGCAGATGTTTTGTCGTTGTTCAGGTAATTAACATGTAATCTTGTCATTGTTTTGGCTATATATATAGAAATAAAAATGTAATAAATTGTCTCCTTGTGAGTGTTATCCTTTTAATTGTACTAGCTCATCATTGTGTGAGATTATTGTGGGCTGAAAAATTCTACAAATTCAGGCATCTGAAATGAAATGATATAACAACTCCCTTATTTACTTACTAATATTATTTACTCAGGACACAAACCGTGGCATCATCAGGTCGGTCGTTTAGGAGTTGCTCATCCACAACGCAACAAAAAAAAACCAAAACACCGGACGACACACGGCCGTGCATTTCGCAGACATGTTGACGACAACGACATGGCCCAAAGATATAATTGAAACTACTCCTCACCACCTCCGTTCGTTATTATAAGGGTCTATTTGAATCCACTTATACTAATAGTCAGCTAGCTAATAGCTATTAACTATTAGCTAACTAATTATTAACCAATGACTGTTTAGATCCACCTACTAATAAGTTACTAATAGATGGTTGGCATCTAGTAGGAGCCTTAAATATGCTAGTGGAACTAATAGTTAGCTAGTCTATTTGGATCCACTAGTACTAATTTTCGCTGCTAACGGGTAGCAGCAGTGGATCCAACCATGCCTTTAAGACCGTATATGTCTGTTCACAACACATGCATGTCTATCAGTAGTCATTGGGCAATTATATAAGTGTTTGCGTGATTCCACTGGTGGGAGACAAATTTATCAAGGAAGCAGTATACATAAACCCTATTTGGATCTATAGAGCTAATTGTTACTGCTAATAATTAGCTCATTTAGATCCAAACATGTCCAGCTAATAGTCTAGCTAATTGTTAGCTAATACCTAACTAACAACTATATCACTAGTTGAGCCAAACCAACTAATAGCAGCTCAGCTAATGGATCCAAACAGTGCCATAGGCTATGAGGCTGTTGTCACTACTACACAAAAGATTATGCGCAGTGTTGCATTTTTGTACTCCGTGGCGGTCACCTATTTTCGCCTGCTGCGGTAAATGCCACGATTTACCGCGGCGGGCATTTTTTATTTACCGTAGCGGGCGTCTTAAGATGCCCGTCACGGAAAATATGTATTTTCCGTGGCGGACGTGTTAAGACGCCCGCCACAGTAAATGGCCGAGGCCCAACAGGCCCAGGGCGAGGCCCAATAACTGGTCTCCATATAAAATGAGCACTTTAGGAGTTTAGGGTTTCAGTTCACTCACTCCTCTCCACCGATAGCGCCGCAGTCACTCCTCTCCTGTCACGAGCCTCTCTCCTCCCGTCTCCTCCCGTCACCATCTCCTTCCACTGCATATCCACCAGCATGGCGCTCTCCCTCCCTCTCTTCTCTCCCACCGATCCCTCCCTCTCCCTCCTCTCTCTCTTCCGATCCTCTAGCACGGGGCGCGGTGCGTTGAGCGCGGTGGCTCGTGGGATGGCAACGATGAGCCCGTCCTGAGGCGAATCTGGCTGGTGGCGGCGCGCGGTGACCGGATCCGGCCGGTGACGGCGTCCCGAGGCGGATCCGGTCGGTGGCGGCTCGCGGTGGTTGGATCCGGTGGGCAAGGACGGTTCGGCGCGGCGGCCTCCCTCCACCACGGCGGGATCTCCACCACGGCCACGACACCGGGATCCACCACGGCCACGACGCCGGGACCTCTACCACGGCGGGCGAGGACGCGTCGGCGCAGCGGCCTCCCTCCACCACGGCGGGATCTCCACCACGTCCACGACGCCGGGATCCACCACGGCCACGACGCTGGGACCTCCACCACCGCGGGCGAGGACGCGTCGGCGCGGCGGCCTCCCTCCACCACGGCGCGGCGGGATCCGCAAGGAGGCACGGGGATCCGCGAGGAGGCGTCGGCATGGTCCCCTGCGAGCGACTGGCGAGGTGGTGGCGGCCCTGCAGTGGCGTCGGCGTGTCCAGCCGGCTTCTCCAGAGACGCTGGGCCCGGCCGGCTGCCCCTCTTCTCCCTCCCCGAGCGGCACGAATCTGCAGCCATGGGAAGCCCGGATCCGTCGCCGGTGGGCTCGCCAGTGGGCTCGAGAACGGGCTCGCCGGCGGGCTCCTGGTTTTTTTTGTTTTTTTTAAATGATTAACCGCAGCGGGCATCTTAACGTGCCCACCGTGGTAAAAGTATATTTACCGCGGCGGGCACGTTACACCGCCCGCCACGTTAAATCGGTTAACCGCGGCGGGCAAGGCCGCCCGCCGCGGTTAAGCCACGATTTACCGTGGCCTCTAGGTCGCGGCGGACGGCTTTGCCCACCGCGGAAAACCGAAAACGCCCGCCTCCAGTAAAGTTTGTGTAGTAGTGTGTGGTGGAAAATTCCCTAGATAAAAATAAAGGTATTTTTTAGATTAAAAATAATAGTATTTCTTCATGTAGTATATGTATCTTCCTCAGCTAGCTTAATATATGTGCAAAACTCGACGACCAACTGGACTGGCGCAAAAACCCGGCGTGGCCGTACTAGTGGCTGCTGGCCAGGATCGCGGCCGTCCATTTTCTGATAGCGCAAACGGTTCCACCGTTGCTTCTGTTGCAACAAGCCAAAAACTAACGCGCAAGCGCCTTGTCTGCAAATATATGTATGTTATTCACTGTTGTTTGTGTGATGGAGAAGTCGCGCCACCAGGCGGGCACTCACCGCCGCAGGTTCCTTATCTCGCTGTTCGTCGTCTCTGGCCTTGGTCCTCTCCTCGACGACCCATACCAATCCATCCATGGCCACTATTTATCAGTGTTCGTACGTGCACGCGTGTATGCATGCAGTTCTATGAACGAGAGTAGGAAAAGGAACGTAGTTAAATGAATGCTAGTGCGAGGGAGGGTGCCTGCAGAGCTTATGACTGAGACTGACCACGACGGTGATGCCTCTGAAGACATCCAGCGAGGCCAGGCGCTGCTCCCTCGGCGGCCTTTGTGTCTCCGCCGCCGCCGTCGTCGTCGTAGCCGGCATGCTCGCCCACCCGCCGCCAGCCTCGATGTCTCGGCGGCGGCCCTCGCCGTCATTGGCTGGGTTCGTTGCCGAGCCGCCGTTGACGCCGGCGGGGAAGTCGACGCTCTTCGCCGCTGCCATGGACGGCGCTCTAGCTAGCAGCGCGCGCGAGCAATATAATGCAGTGCACTCACGGAGTCGCAGTTGACTATAGCTAATGGTAATGCAGGGGCGAGCAGCGCCTCACACCTGTGCCGCGTATATTTATACAGGGCAGTGCGCTGCGCTGCAGCCAGGAGTAAGCTGCGGGTAAAGAAATAAGGCCGGCCAGCTGACGAGCCTTTGCTGTACCGTCGCCATCCGCAAATCCGTCACGTACACGGCCATCACCAGCCAATATAATCTGTCAAGTTGACGACGTACGATTTCCACATTGAGCAGTCAAGGGTTCCATGCAAAAGGGCAGCTGAATCGGCCCACCCTCGTGGGCCACACAGCCCACACTTCACTAAAAGGAAAGTGGTGATATCATTTGGTCACAGACACCTAAGCAATCGTCGTAGTTAATGTAACACTCTAAAATTTGTACTTTTGAAATTAGGGTTAAAATAATTAATTTAAAAATTTTTGTGCTCATGAAATATAAGAAAATAAAATTTTTTATTAAATTAAAATTCATCATAAGGTAGCAACATGTTTGTGCATTCATGTTGTTGCATTTGATTCTTGGAGATGAGTGGTTTTGACTAAAACTCAAAAGGATTTAAAATGCTTTAGAAAATGGCTTTGAAGTAAAAGAAAAGAAAATTTAAAAATAAAAGAATTTAAAAGGTTGTAAAAATTATTTTTGGAAAGACTTACTAAAATTCCTCATTTTTACTTGAGTTGAAAAAGTGTATTGGAAACTCTATTTGAATTTGATTTGGTTTGTGTTTGAATTTGGTTTTGAAAACGAAATAGGAAAAAATGGAAAAAGGAAAACTCACTCTCTCCACTACTCCGGTCCGTTCAGCTCCGTGCAGCCCAGCCCCGCTTCTTCGGCTTGCAGCCCAGCAGCAGCGCCTGCCTGCTCTTTCCCCTCCGCATGGCACAGCAAGCAAGCAGCCCAGTTCCCCGTCGCGCCACGCGTCTCTTCTCTCCTTCCTTCCGCTG